ATATATATATATATATATATATATATATAATTAAGAGAGTCTCTTCTATCAATTATCTCCAAAGAATTTGCTCTCAAATAGATTTAAAGTATTTGATTAACACCTTTTCATAAGTGAAAAAAAATTAAGAAGATTTCTTATTCAGCTTATAATTCGAATTTTGGATGTCTTTCTTGATGAATAATGGCTAGTCCAAAGCTTCATTTGTTAGCTTTATGAAACTGAAAAACACTATTATAGCGAAATATTTTTTTTTTATCAAAATAGGTTTCTCATCAAAATATTAATTTATTATTAAATATAAATATTAATCAGGGTAGCATAAACACCAAACCAATGAATTAATCAAAAAGTGAGACACTAAATTTTTACATAGAAAACCTAATGCGAGAAATACAATGGGACTGTAGTCTACTTCAAACATCCACTATCATCAATAATGATAACATGTTTAAAATAATTTTTTTCAAAATAACTAAAGATTCACAGTAACATTAAGAACACATATCTTGGCTCAACAATAACATATCATCATTATCATAAATAAATTTAATAAAAAAAAATTAGATCTATCAAAATAGGTATAACAGAAAAATATCTTAAAGAGGATAAAATTTATACTGAAATAGGTATAACAGAAAAATAGGTTTCACATAAAATTTAGATCAAAACCGACGAACTTTCATTGATTGTAGCAAAAACCTCACAACTTTAACCTTCTCTCTCTTTTCTTTACCGTCCGCTACAGTTTCTTTCGTTCGCAGCATCTACTCGCACACCCCTCGTTGTGCAATCTCCATTTCCTTCTCTCTTTTTTTGTATGTTCTGTTAATGCATCATATTTGGGTTCACTGCCGAAATCGATCGGGCCAAGCCCACCTACGGGCTGGACCCAACAGCAGGTTCACGCATCTAAAACCAACCATCCTATATTTGTTAAGGTATACTAAAAGTTCCTTACCAAATTTTTCTAAAATTATAAATAAAATACTTTTGTTTTTTAATTAAGGAAACAATATATTACTTTTCCGCTTCACAAATTTATTCCGACTAACAACAAAAGCCTCAGATTTTATTTCTTTCTAGTTCTTGATAGATGGAGACGAACCAAAGACATGTAGCAAGCCACACTACAAAAGAGTGCTTCAAGCACCATAGCCATAGAGCACGAAGCAAATCTACACCATATTCCGAAAATAACATTAGGCAAGGATTGAGAATCTAGGGTTCTATCTACCAGTAACAACATTCTCTCAATGATTTAGCTTTCCAGATGTCATCTACAACACAACCAAGAATAAGAAAAAAGTACAGATTTCCCCTTCAGATATTGTGCAAGTTCATGCTTCCATTTAGCAACAACAAAGTCTTAGCGTCCCAACTATTTGAAGCACCTACATGCATGCCCACAACAAAACCATAATGTCCCAGCTAGGGCTTCCGATATACAAATCATTTTATCAATTTCTATCTGGAGAATTAAGAAACATTAAGACATTCTACAGCCTACCACAGTTCTCTATTTCGTGACATTCTGGTATAGAGATGTGTAACAGGAAGAAAAACAGCCTGATATATGTATGTTGTAGACACAGATCATGTACAACAAAAGTGAAACTGGAACCACCATGCTTGCCCTACCACCTAAACATATCGTATGTTACATCATACAAGTCATCGATGCCGACAGTGCTTGCCACCAGTCATATCTCCATGTCGTCCAGCAAATCTTCCTCTTCCTCTTCCTCTTCCTCTTCCTCTCTCAACACATCATTACCTAGAAACTCCTCCGCAGCGAGTTTGCTGCAAATAACATAATTTGAATGATTTAGTCACACAATGGAAGTAATAGATACATTGCAAGAATTTTAGGAAAGAACTTACTTTAAGAATTTATTATATAGCGTAATGAAATATAAGAATGGTATAATAGGAATATACTTCACTCGAGGCACAGAACTTGACAACTCACCTGAAACAACAGCATCGGAAGCTGACAACACGCTTCAGCTTCCTATTGTAGAAGAAAAAGTTGAACGCCCATCTGCACCGCATTAATCCCATGTTAGATAAACCAAAGTACATGACTATTTGTTGCAGTTAAGAGGATCTTACATTGCTCCTTTCTCCAAAAATGGGTGGTCTCCATCAAAATCTGGATTGTAGCTGTAGATTTCACAGTCCTTTATTTTCACAACCTGCATGGAGAGAGAGAGAGAGAGAGAGAGAGAGAGAGAGAGAGAGAGAG